AATTTTTTGGTCTATTCGGTAGTGGTATGCTTGCTTAAGATGGTAGATGTATAGTTTTAAAACTTGACTTGCTAGTAAGATAGGTTAAAGGATTAATAAGAGAAAAGCCACTAGAGAAGCTAGTGTTTGTGGGTGCTTGTTGAGTAGTTGTTTGAGGTTCTAAGTAAGCTTGGTTGTTGTTGTTAGTTGCTGTAGTCTTGCTGCTAGTTGTAGCATCAGTTGTTGTGAAAAAATATTAAAGATTAACAGCATTTTATTATAGAACAAAAATTTTGATAAAGATAGTTATATACTAACCATTGATTTTAAAAAAAATAAATTTAAAGCAAGTTTTAAATTTTTGAAAAAGATCAAGTATAGTTTTGGCAAATTGTATTTAAATATAATATAGTAGTTTAATAATTTATTTTAATTGCAAATAAAAAGTTTTAGTAACTATGTAGTAAAACTGAATAAGTTTATTTTGGTTAAGATATTACAAGCTGTAATAGATATATTGGTTATATAAAAATTTGATTTTTTTTAAATAAAAATAAACAGAATTATTTAAAAAAAATAAAATAGAATAAAATAAATAATTATCAAATTTTTGTATATAAAAAAAATAAATTTTTAAAATTTTAAATCTTCTATAAATTTTTAAAAACATATTAAAACTAGTACAAAATAATAAATCCAAACTATTAACAATAAATAGACTAATAATTTTAATAATTAGATTTTTAATAGTAAAATTATAATTTTAATAATAAAATATTTAAAATAATTAAAATATAATATTTATATTTATTAATTATTATTTTATATACAAAAATTTTTTTAATTTATTACAGTTAACTCTCTCTAAATGCATGTTCTCTAAATACATATTCTCTCTAAATGCAGGTTTAAATTCTGGCCCACATATATATTTGATCTCTATAAATGCATTTTTCTTAATTGTTCTCTTAATGCATGTTGCTAAAAGTCTGGTTCCAATGAGATATATTTAGAGGGAGTCAACTGTATATATATACTTTATAGTATTAAAAGCAAGTTTATATTTTATTTAAATTACTTGTATTACAAAATAATATATTTTATAAAAAAATATAAAAAATAATATATTTTATTGTTTAATTTATATTTAAATGATAATATATTTATTGTTTATTTTTAAAATAAATATTTTTAATAATCTAAAATTTAAAATATATAAAAATAAATAATAAATTTAATTAAATATAAAAACTAAAAATTAAAATTAATATTTACCAGTATTAACAGATTTACTTGGTAAAATTTCTAATATTATAAAATATTAGTTTAAATAAAAAATAAATTGTTAATAAATTAAATTTTTTAAAACAAATACCTTTAATTGCATTAATTGCATTTGATATTTTTTGCGCATCAATAATTTTGCTAGTGTATATAAAGTCGGGATGTTTTGGTGTGACAATTGGCAATGTTTTAGTTGTTTTATCAGCTTCTAAGAATTGCATTTTAATTTCATTCGTATCATCTGAACCTTCCATTATTTTATTCCATTCTGCAAGTTTATCCCAAACATTTTCAGCATTTGGACGTTTTTTTGGATCCGTATCCATGCACTGCTTAGCAAATTCAACATAGCAATTTGGCGTTCCGGAAGCAAATTCTGGCCGCAATCCTTGACAAATTTTTGCTGCAAGAATAGTATTAAATTCATGACCATCAAAAGGTCTTTGACCAGTTGACATTTCTGACATAATAACTCCAAAACTGTAAATATCGGCAGCTTTTGTAAGCTTTTGACCCAATAAAACCTCTGGCGCCACATAAGGAATAACTCCATAAATATCACCTTTTGAATCAATTTCGTTTTCCTTTTTGGACAATCCTAGATCTGTGATGTATGATTAAATATTTTTACTAATGTTTTCATCTTGTAAAATATTGCCGCTATGAAAATCGGCATGAACGTATCCCGCTCTGTGAATAAAATATAAATCTTTAGAAATATCAAGAAGTAGTTTTAATTTAGTTTGCCAAGTAAGATCACGAAAACTGTTTCTTAAAAATTTGTGAAGGCTTCCATTATCAGCATGTTGAAATACCATAAAGTATTCATTTTCGTTTGTTTGAGTCAATCCGTATATTTTAAGTTGACTACCCCATAAGCCACATATTAAATGATTCTCAAACTTTATAAATAAGTAAATAAATCGAATCAAATAAATTAGTTCATTATTAATTTAATAAATT